TCTCTTTTTATTAATGTATGTTTAAGCTGAAATTCTATTTCTTTTTCTCATACAACCACCACAGGGCAGTGTTAAGGTATATTGGGGGCCCTACTGATTGGTTGGACTTTCTGCCTCCTGGTGGTCTGGTGGATCAAGGACTAGGCTTCTTGCCCCAGTGACTATGGAGTGGGAGATGTGATATGTTGTGGTCTCTTCAACATAGAGGAAATTTGTGACTGAGTCTCTGACTCATAAAGGGTAGGAAGCAAGGCAGGTCCAAGAAAGTCTGGAGTCCTGGGAAAAGTGAGCGTGTCACTCACTACAAGGTCCACCTTTTAATTTGAAATTTGATTTCTCATCCTCTAGCAAACTTCACGCAGGGAAGGGGGTTGCCATAACAACAAAATGCTATGGGCCTTATCCAAAGCCCTTTGAAGATGTTAATAGGATTTGGATCAGTTCCTACGCACCCATTTAGCAGATCAGTTCCTATGCCAGTGAAGTGAAGAGTATTTTAATATTGATCTGCCCTCCATTAATTATTTATTTCCACTCTTAAATCGTCAGGTTTTCTTTTACTATGGAAGTTTCTTGTAGTTACAAAACTTTCAATTTTACTTAAATGTAAGTTTTCTGTTGGGAAATGTAATGATTATCTATAATTTCTCTTCCTACATGTTTTAATTTCAAGAAAAGAAGGAGGCACTTTCCCTTGAGTTGGCTCCTGGGTTGGATGATGGGTTCAGAAGCCCAGGTTATCCAACAGCATGAAGACTGTGCATAAGGACAACCAGAATTAAAATATAAACAAAAAAAACCCTCTATCTATCTATCTATCTATCTATCTATCTATCTATCTATCTATCTATCTATCTATCTATCTATCTATAGGGGCCATTATATTGTATATTATATAAAGGGGCCAAATGTAGAATGCACAGGGAACCTGAATTCTGGTATTTCCTAACCTTTGAATCCAATTTTCATTTAAGGTGTTTTATGTGTGTGCAGATGGCTGAGCATGTGTGTGAGGTTTAGGTTGGATATTAGGAAAAACTTTTTCACTAGGAGGGTGGTGAAGCACTGGAATGGGTTACCTAGGGAGGTGGTGGAATCTCCTTCCTTAGAGGTTTTTAAGGTCAGGTTTGACAAAGCCCTGGGTGGGATGATTTAGTTGGGGATTGGTCCTGCTTTGAGCAGGGGGTTGGACTAGATAACCTCCTGAGGTCCCTTCCAAACCTGATAGTCTATGATTTAGTAATTTTTTATCATCTGCAAATTTTGCCACCTCACTGTTTATCCCTTTTTCCAGATCCTTTATGAATATGTTGAATAGGACTGGTCCCAGAACAGAGCCCTGGGGGACACCACTATATATCTCTCTCCATTCTGAAAACTGGTTGCACTGTCCCTTTGCACTACCAAGCTCAGATGTAACCCCACACTCCAGCTCCTTGTCAGATGTGATTCCCCTCTCTCTTCCCCTGTTCCCTGTCCGTGTACTGGTTCCCAGTCCCAGTCTCCTTTTCAGGCTTGTTCTAGTCTGCCCCTCTGCCCCCTCTTCTTCATCTGGTCTCAGTTCTCACTTTCAGTCCTGCAACACCCATTTCCCTCACTGGTTCCCAGTCTCCTTACCCAGTGTCCAGTTCCACCTCATTCCCAGTCACAGTTTTTCTCTCACTCCAGAACCAGTCTCACCAAGCACTTTGTCCCAATCTATTCCGTTAACTCCTTCCGGGTCTAGCTTTCCCCCCGTTTTATATTCTAGTCAGTCACCTCCTACCTCCGCTCTGCCTAGACAGCAGCAGAGTGGGCACTGAGAGCACAGGAGAGACAGGCCCCCTGCTGTCCATTTTAGTGCCCAACCCCACAGCAGTTTGGAGCAGCAATTGCAGGGAAAGCTCAGCTTTGACCATTTATCCTTGACCTGGAGTGTGGGGATGTCACATGTGAAGTCTGGTCAGCAGTAGGGGCTGTGAGGGGATGGAGCATGCTCCGTGAGGACAAAATCTTCAGAGAATTTTACGTTAAACTCTAAGAACTCTTACCAAGTGTGCACAAAACTAAAATTTTTCAGAGGTTTATCACTTGGCCAATTATTGGATGGATTTTCACAGGGAAAGGGCACATGCCTGACCCACAGGCAGTGGCGGCTCCAGGCACCAACGCTCCAAGTGCGTGCCTGGGGTGGCAAGCTGCGGGGGGTGCCCTGCCGGTCCCTGTGAGGGCAGCAGTCAGGCAGCCTTCGGCAGCATGCCTGCGGGAGGTCCGCCGGTCCCGCGGCTTTGGCCACCAAGCCGGTGGGACCGGGGACCTCCCGCAGGCAGGCCGCCGAAGGCAGCCTGCCTGCCATGCTTGGGGCGGCAAAAAAGCTAGAGCTGCCCCTGCCCACAGATCACACCCTGCTGAATATCAAGTTTCTGCTCAAAAGCCCGGTTCACTAAAGCTTCTCCTAGAAAAGGTCAACAGATTTTTTTTTTTTAAATCTCAAAACCATGTGTTATTCTCTAACCTCATTCTCAGAAACAGTGGAACCATTTTGGCTGAAACTTGTAAAAAGAAATTCAGTCTGACGCAGATACCCAGCATGGAACTTTTCTGCCCAGATGACTAAAGTTTGGCAAAGTAGTGAGCAGCTGAAAAGAAGGCCCTATAATGGGAAGGATGGAGCCACCTTAACGGGTGATGTAACCAGGCCCACCTATATACGCTGGCAGAGGCAGGGGGGGCGACATGGGTCACGTGAAGCCATCTTGTCGGCGCAATGTCATCCACGCAGGCCCCTCCCCTTTTTTCCCCATGGCCGCATGCGCGTGCCCCCCCACTTTCTGGTGGTGCCTCCCAGGCCCTTTTTTCTACTAGTGCCTCTGTATGCTGGAGAGGGGAAGACAGAGACGAGGAGAGGCTGGTAGCACTTCACATAGTATTTAAAATACACCATTCAATACTATCAAAAGCGTGTGAGAAGAACCTCTCTTTAAAATTGGTTTCTGCCAATTTTTATCTTGCAGGGAGCATTTTTTCCCACACTTGTTTCAAACAAATCCTGATGGAATATATTTTTCTAGAATAGAAGTATACACTGTTTGTCATTCCAAACAATAGTATACTGTTTATTATTTCTGAACTAATGTGGGCTTTGTGTTTCAGATTCCTTTTTCCCAAGAATGTCTCCTTGGCTGGTGGTTTGGAGTGTGACTCTGGTGATTTCATTGGTGTTCATCAGCCTTACTCTTTTTCTCTTCAAATTAAGAGGTAAAGCTTGAATGGGGAAAATACAGTGTAAGCGGAATGGGATTTTCTCCTTAGAAAAGACAGTTGTAACTTTCTCATGTAGAAAAGTTTAATCAGTTTAAGATGTGAAATTAAATGGATTTTGTTAAACCAATGCAAACCTCTGTGTGGACACATCAATTTACATGGAGTTTATTTCAGATTAACTTAAACCTGTTCCTCTTCATCTGAAAATAAGCCTACACTTGGTTTGCACCAGTTTAATTAGGCCTTGGCTACAGTCGCGGCAGCGCTGTGAAGCACGAGTGTACTTGCGCCGCCAGCGCTGCGAGAGCTCTCACAGCGCTGCAAGTACTCCACCTCTCCGAGGGGAATAGCTTGCAGCGCTGTGAGCGAGCGTGCAGCGCTGCAGGCGCTGATTACACTGGCGCTTTACAGCACTGCACTCGCTGTGCTCAGGGGGGGTGTTTTTTCACACCCCTGAGCGCAGCAAGTGCAGCGCTGTGAATTGCCAATGTAGCCAAGGCCTTAGATTGTCAATGGAGCCTGAGGCAGTTAGGTTCCCAACTCCCACTGTAATTCAGTGTAGTTGGGGTTTTTAAGTGCCCTTGGCTCAAATGAAATTTCTGCTGTTTAATTCTAGTGTGTTCAAAAGATTGTTACAGTATTAGTGAATGGCTTGTTATTTTTGTTGTTCTGGCAGGCTCCATCTGGGGATGCCAGTACACAGAGTCTTCCAAGTTTTTCTTTTTTTTACTTTGTTTTAGTGTGTGAGCAAATGTTCAGTCTTGGGGAAGACAGGCTGCATTGTTGTTGTTAGTTTGGGGTTCTGCAAAGTTTCAGGAAGAGGGAGCTGAACAAGAAACAGGAGAGTTTGCTCATTGTCTTGATCTCAGGTTAGAGTCAATTCTTGAGGTATCCATTCTTGAAATTCTCTAGGAACCAAATGTCATGGATCCACACTCCAGCTCTTAAACAGTCTCTTGGAGGAACCCCTTCAGTCTGCCACACATCCAAAGGATCTCATCTTCCTTCAGAGTAGGCCTCGCTGCCTCATAATCTCCTTAACTGAGCATCTGGGCTCCAGCACTCGGGGATTCACACCAAGAACTCTCCCCAGCTAGTCTACACTTAGACCAGGGGTGGCCAACCTGAGCCTGAGAAGGAGACAGAAATTACCAATGTACATTGCCAAAGAGCCACAATAATACATCAGCAGCTCCCTGCCCCCACTCCCAGTGCCTCCTGCCCACCAGCAGCCCTGCCAATCAGCGCCTCCTCCTCCCTCCCCCCACCTCCCAATCAGCTGTTTCTTGGCATGAAGGAGGCTCTGGGGGCAGGGGGAGAGGGAGGAGGGAGGATATGGCAGGCTCAGGGGAGGGGGCGGGAAGGGGTGGAGTGGGGGCTGGGCCTGTGGCAGAGCCAAGGGTTGAGCAGTGAGCACCCCCTGGCACATTGGAAAGTTGGCGCCTGTAGCTCCAGCCCCAGAGTCGGTGCCTATACAAGGAGCTGCATATTAACTTCCGAAGAGCCACATGTGGCTCTGGAGCCACAGGTTGGCCACCCCTGACTTAGACAGACTCCTGAACAGAGGCTTGTATGCTCTTCAGGGACTTATGTGTCTCAGCAAGTTTTTGCAATGACACAAAACAATCTTTTCAAAACAGAGTAGGATTTATTAGTCAACTGCCATCAATTCTTGGCATTCCCTGGGAACCAAGTCCTGGTGCTAGGTGAAGTTCTTGACAGAAAGGATTGTCTGTGTGCTGTTTGTGACCATCTGTGTTCTAGGACAGGTCTATGTGTGTAAATAAATCAAATTACACTTAGAAAGTACCCAACTCTGTGTCACAGATTTCTCCTCCACTGGGCACCCAACCTGCAAGTCCCTGGAGAGCTTCAATGGCTTGGTAGAGCAGCGTCATTATTATTACACAAGGACTCATAATGAAAAGATCCTTTTAAACTTAGAGTCACTGAAAAAGTCCCTACATTATTTGTATTTTCTTTTTTAGGGAAACATCTCGACACTATCAGTAAGTTCCATTTTCTCCTGGTACAACCAATAATATGCTCTGAAAGATTTTTGAATGAATGTGACAATGTCAACTTGAAAATCATAAGTAATACTAATTGCGTATCTTGTTATATTGGTAATGGGTCGGAAGCCAGTATTGTACATGTGTCTTCAGGAGCAGGGCCGGCTTTAGGCCGATTCAGCCGATTCGGCTGAATTGGGCCCCGCGCCAAGAGGGCCCCGCGCTGCAGCTGTTCACCCCGCCCCCAGCTCACTTCCCCGGCCCCTCCTCCCCTCCCCTGAACGCCCCTCCTCCTCCCCTGAGACTAAGCAGCAGGGGCGGGCTGTCCGGCAGCACGAGGTAAGCTGGGGTGGGGGCGGGAGAAGGGCTCCGGGGAGGCGCGGCCCGTTCCCGCAGGCCCCAGCACGGCCCCCGTGGCCCGGCTCCGTCCCGGTCCCCGCGGCTCGGGCCCCCCCGTCCCCCCCCCGCGGCGCGGCTCAGGTCCCCTGCGGCGCGGCTCGGGGGCCCCCCCGGCCCCCCCCGGCGGCGCGGCGCAGCTGGGCTCG